CATGGGAGGGACAAGGGAACAGTTATGCAAATTGAGAGACCTTAAAAGAACTGCCCCCCCCATCTCGGTGTGTTCTCAGGCCCTGGCACGAGGCAAACCTGACCGCACCCAGCGCGCGCTGAAAATAAAAGTTCTTTGTTTCACTTTATTTGGCCGTCTACGAAATTTTAATTTGAGATATTTCTCACAGCAGGAAGGTGCCGAGGGCTGGGTGAATGAAGGCAGGAAGGTGCCGAGGGCTGGGTGAATGAAGGCAGGAAGGTGCCGAGGGCTGGGTGAATGAAGGCAGGGCGCTCCCTCTGCCGGCACCGAGCTCCCAGCGAGAGAAGGGAAAGCCTCTGGAACCGCCCCCACCTCCCGAGCTATATCCACGACTCCGCAGCAGATTCCACAAGCGAACTGTCCTGGAGCAGACGGGGACAACTTTCCTGAGGCAAAGCCAGGATACAACCTCTGGTTATTTTATTGGTGCAGATGCGGGAATGCTTCGCTCAAAGCCGTGCTGGGTAAAGCAGCGGGGGCCCTGCAGCCCGGAGAACCGAGAGAACTCAGCCGTGACCTGAGCAGGGCAGAGCGAGCAGATCCTGTCTCTGAACAAGACCAGCAGACTGGAAGCGGGTCTGGAAGCGGATTCAGCCTCCATGAGGGACCTGGAAAAAGTATTTCAGGTGCAGGTATTTCCAGAGGCTGATCCCGGAGCTGCACCAAGACAGCAGATAACAGAGCCCTGGACTGGGGGGGGGGGGGGGGGGGGGGGGGGGGGGGGGGGGGGGGGGGGGGAGGTGTCTTCGTGCGTCTTCATAACGACCCCTGAGCGTGAGAGCACATTGACAGCTGGGATCCTGCACCCAGAGCTAAACCAGCATCACGTGCCCTGCACAGCCGAGCTCCCCGAGCCCTGCGGGACCGGGAGGGCGCGGGTGGGACACCTCGCACAGGTGCAGGCGGGCCCCGCGGCCTCCATCGGCCGCCCCGGGTACCCCTGGCCCCGCGGGGCTGGGGCGGCCCAGGCCCCGCCCGTTGCCATGGGAACGGCCTGGTCCGGGTGTCCCCGTGTCTCGGTCCCGGTGTCCCCGTATCTCGGTCCCGCCGCTCCGCGTGCCGGCCGCGATGGTTCCGCGGGGGGCGGCGGCGGCGCGGGGGGAGCGCGGCCCCTTTAAGAGCGGCGCCGCCATGATCTGCCTGGTGCTGGGGCTCTTCGCCGGCCTCTTCCAAAGCGGTGTGGGACGGGCGGCACCGGCACCCCCTGACCCCGAGCCCCCGCTGGCCCAGGACCCCCCCCCGACCTCACGGGCCCGGGATCCCCTCTGCCCGCTTGCCTGAGGGCCCGGGACCTTCCTTGTCCTCTGCCCCCGCGGCTCAGGGACCGGGACCCCCACCCTTACCCCTGTGCCCCCGCACCCGCGGGCCTGGCACCCCCGGCCCGTGTCCTTCAGCGTCCGAAATCCTGGGACCTGCCCTGTGACCCTTTGTCCCTTGAGCCCCCCCTCCTGCCCCTGTGCCCCCCGCGCCCGAGGACCAGGACCCTTTCCTTTCCCCCCCGGGGTCGTGGGACACCCCTTGCCCTTGTGCCCCCGCACCTGAGACCCCAGGGCCTCCCCTTGTCCCCGTGCCCCAGCACTGAGACCCTGGGACCCCCGCCCCCTGTGCCCCCGCAGGCCCAGGGGGGTCTCCTTCCCCCTCCTCACCCCTGTGCCCTGTCCCCGCAGCCCTCGGCGGGATCAATGAACGCACCTTCGTGGCCATCAAACCCGACGGGGTCCAGCGGCACCTGGTGGGGGAGATCATCCGGCGCTTCGAGAGGAAGGGGCTGCAGCTCGTGGGGATGAAGCTGTTTCAGGTGGGTGGCCGGGCCTGCCCGGGGGGGTCCCTGGAGCCAAGGTGTCCCGTCCCCCCGTCCCCCCCCCCCCCCCCCCCCCCCCCCCCCCAGAATCCGGCTGTGCTGGTAACTGGGGGGGTTCTGCTGTCATCCGGCTTGTACAGCACCAGCACCAAACCCTCACAGGGCACAGGGGTGTTGGCACCCAGGTGCCTGAACTGCCTCCCAGCTGTGGGGAGCACAGCTGCCCCTGGCTGTGTCCGTGCTCCAGGGCTGGCACTGAGCTGGCACGTGGAAACTCCTCTCTGTGTCAGGCTGCTGCTGGTTCCCTCCTGGAACCGAGCATCTGTGCAGGAGCTGGATTGTAACACACAGCACCCAGCTTTCCCTGAGTCCCTCAGGTAGCTAAGCCAAGCTCTGTGCTCTCTGCAGGCCTCAGAGGAGCTGCTGAGGGAGCACTATGTGGCCCTGCGGGACCGACCCTTTTACGGCCGCCTGGTGAAGTACATGAGCTCCGGGCCGGTGGTGGCCATGGTGAGTGTGGCCCTGTCCTTTGCACCAGGGGACAGGGTGGAAGGGCAAGGTTAGAGCAGCACTGGCTGTTGGCATGATGGAAACAAGGTGGCTTCTCTCCTCAGAGGGTCTCTTGAAGCCGTGCTGACCTGTAGGGATGTTCTCTGTGGTAAATTTAAATTGTAGTATCGCTGCCTGTTTTGGGACGGGAAGGACCTTAAAGCCCATCTCATTCCACCCCCTGCCATGGGCAGGGACACCTTCCATTATCCCAGGCTGCTCCAAGGCCTGTCCAGCCTGGCCTTGAGCACTTCCAGGGATGTGGAAAAATCCACAGACAATTTGGACTATTTTCCAAAATCAACTTTTGAAGGCTATTTGGAGAGACCCTTTCCTGTCTCTCCCCCAGGTGGGTCAGAGGGAATTCAGAGGACAGATGTGATGTGCTGGGGCAGCTGTGGGGGCTGATCCTGGTTCTGCTCTCCCGTAGGTGTGGCAGGGCCTGGACGTGGTGAGGACAGTTCGTGCCATGATCGGGGAGACGAACCCGGCTGAGTCCAGGCCTGGCACCATCCGAGGGGACTTCTGTGTCGAAGTCAGCAAGTGAGAGCTCTGGCTTCTTCTTCCCTCAGTGTTTCAGGGCATCCTGTGCAGACACTCCTGTGCCAGGCCTGCCTGAGCCATGTGAGCCTACACCCCCGAGCAGAGCTGCTCCCTCCTGTGCTCGCACCAGAGCTGAGCTCTGCCTCCCAAATCTTGGCTTTGGCAAGAGTAGGAACCTGGGTTTGTGTCCTTCCCTCTTCCTGAGGCCTCTGTTGAAAGCAGATGGGGTTTGCCTATGTTTTCCTCTGGCAATCAGGTTGTGAAGAGCAAGGGAGGAGCCCTCTCAGCCCTTTCCTGGGAGTAGGTGAAAGTCCGGGGGTGGTGACCTTGGGTGGCCACAGCCTGGCTTGTGGTAGACATTGAACCCTCCTGGCTGAGGTTTCTGTTCCTGGGTGTCCAATACCAAACCACCTTTGGCAGAAGGGAGGGGGGAAATCTGGAGGCACAGCTGGAATTACTGACATAAAAGCAAGCAAACCACGTGTAGCTCCTCCTGGAATAAAAAAATGTCTGCTCATCATAGCAGGAAGGAGTTCTGGGCACGGGCAGCTCCTGCACATCCTTGTCCCGCACCCTGAGCTTGAAGAAGGGGGGTATGTGTGGTGGGAAAGGACACTGTGGGATGGGACTGGCTCTGTTGCTTTAATTAAACTGGTCAAGGGGAAATTTTCCAGCATCCTGTTCCACCTTCCTGTGCTGAGTGCCAGCTGATCCCTGTCTCCTCCCCCCAGGAATGTGATCCATGGCAGTGACTCAGTGGAGAGTGCCCAGCAGGAGATCTCCCTGTGGTTCCGCCCCGAGGAGCTCATGTGCTGGGAGGACTCGGCCCAGCACTGGATCTACGAGTGAGGGAGGGACACCTTCCCGAGGGGACACAGGACATTGCCATCCGTTTCATGGCTGGGGATCCTGCTGTGGGATTCCTGCTCTGCCTGTGAGGTCCTGGGAGCTGGGCTGTGTCTGGAACAATGTGCTTCAGCTCCTGCCAAGAGTAACTGTTTCTTTTTTTCCTCTCTGCTCTAGTAAGTAGCATTGTTGCTCTGTTTGCTGCAGTATCTTAAATCCCGAGTAGCTCAAGCTGATTTATTGAAGTACGTCCTCGACACTGGGCCAGTCCCTGGGTGTTCCCAGCCCTGCCTGGTGCAGGAGAATGTGTGTTCCTTGCTACTGGGAGAGGTGCTGGTGGGATTGGTAGAATTTACCTGCATTTCTAGAAGGCTTTTCACCAAAGGCTTTTAAAGAACAAGGCTGCTGTGGGGTATGGGGGAAGATTCACAACCCCACCCGGCTCCAGACACGATCAGCGAGTCCATGGAAAGAAGGTTCTCCAAGGGCTGTTAAACGCACAGTTTCTCTGGCTCCAGTTCCCAGCCTGGGAGCAGGGAAGCAGCTTCTCCAGCTGTGCTCTGGTTCTCTGGGGCTGCACAGCCCTGGCCTGACCCTGCACTCTCAGTCCCACATTGTCCCTGTGTGGGGACTGACACAGGCTGGGGAAGCTGCAGCACTGGGGCAGCCAAGGAATAGAAGGGGGAGAGTGAGACAGGAAGAATTTGTGGATCTGGGGCTGAGGAAGGACTAGATTATTTAGTCCTCTCTTGTGCACAGAGCAGGCTGTGGAGTCCTGGCACTGAGCTCTGGGAGAGCCTGAGATCTCTGTCTGACAGCGGAGCTTCCCTGCTGGGAGGGTACCTGGAGTCCCAGTTTGTGATGGGCTGGACACCCCCTGTGAGCTCCTCAGAGCTGTGCTGGCTCTGGAGTGTAAGGACAGGGACAGTGACATGGCATCTTGCCACGGAACAGGGACCTGGTTAAACCCGGGGAATGAGATCCTCTGGGGCTTTCCTGTGTGCAGGGTGAGTTCTACCTGTGCCTTCAGGGCCTGTCCCGCTCTGTGTCTGGCTCCTCAGCTCTGTAGCTTTTGGGGGCAGAGAGAACTCACCCCATTCCCACTCTGGGCTGGGGGGGTCTCCCTCCAGTGGGGCCTCCCTTCCCTTCCCTCAGCTGGCCTGACAGCCTCAGCCTGGCTCCTCCTGCCTTGGCCTTTTCCAGGAGCCTGCTTACAGCTCTGAATACCTGACACATCTCACTTGTTCCTGCAACTCCTCCATTTGGCTGAGCCCAAAGTGTGGCTGCAGCAGGGCTGCAGGAGACACTGGCAAAGTAAAGACTGAGGTGTGAAGAGAGCAGGAGGAAGGTTTCATTTGTTGTTTAATAGATGCACTGAAAAGTGCTGTTTGCTCCCAAGAGGTGCCAGCTGTGTGACACATGTAAACTCTGGCCAAATCCCTGAGCATCATTTCTTGCCATTGCCTTTTCCTGAGGGATCCCTCTTCTGTTGGCACAGATGAGATTTTAGGTGCTCTCCCAGTTTCAAAGCACACTGGACTCCAGTCAAGTAACGGCCCTGACTCCTCAAGGCCCAGTCCAAGCCAGTCCTCTCCTCCTCCCTGTGTGTAGTTTGGTGTCTGCCATGAACTCGGCCCTCTCTGGGGCCCGATGGAGCAGCCCCAGTGCAGGGAAAGGGCCCCAGAGGCGCCGCTGGGTGAGGGGGGACAGGCTGGGCTGGGGCTTCCTCCAGCCCCCATGACTTTAATTGCTTTGCATGTTGGTTCCTGCTGCTTCTCCTCTGTCCAAGACTCTGTTAAACTGTAATAATAAAAGTAGAAACTGTCTGTGCTTCCTCTCGGGGCTCTTGAGGGCAGGAGCCTGCAGGTGCTTGGCAAAAATAGCCAGGCCAGCCCAGCCAGCAGCTGGAGGGAGGGTTTGGGTGCTCCAGTGGTGTGTCAGAGCTGGAGGAGGTGATGGCAGTGCTCACCTTGTCTGTGCCCTGTGCAGGGCTCCAGTGCTTCCCCTGAAGCAGCAGCGGGGCTGGGATGATCCTCAGGAGCCAGACTGATGCTGCAGCACCCTGTGCTTGTGGCAGCAGAGCCAGAGGGCTCTGTGCTCCAGCAGGACTTGGGGTCACAGGTTAGCTGGGGTTGGGAGGGAGTCTGGAGATCACCCAGTCC